TATATATATATATGTAGATATATAGTATAGTATGTACGGAAAGTGTTGTTGTACATCGTTATTGTATTTAAATTTTTCTTCGTGTTGTATAACAGCATTGCATTCTTGTATTGTGTTATATAAATTTTATTATTTTAAATGGCCAACACTATTGCATCCATCTGATTTTTCTCCGTAAAGTTCTATATATAGACTGTTTTCAGTACATATATTTGAATATATATGCAATATATTTGGAATTATATGCAATAAATGTCTTTTTTTATTTTTGACTTTTATTCATATTATCAATTAAGAGTAGATAATAGAGATCTCTATTATCTCTATTATCTACTGTTGATATTATCAGGAGTCTATTGATAGACTCCTGATATTATGCATAACGAAAATTTGTTTGAGATTAGTATTCAATATAAAGACGTCAAAAAAGTACTTTTTATCAACTCAAAACTCACGATACATACAAATGTATATATATATATATATATAATATATATATATATATATAATACACGTGTATTCACAATTTTGTTCAGTGGTGAGCTCTATTTACTATATATATGCGCTTCTTTATTCTTTACTTCAACGCACGCCAGTGGGATATCATCAATGTTAATGGCGTAGCAGATATTGAAATAATTATCGTATATTACGTTACCTAGCTTGCTCTTATCCTTTCAACAAGATCACAATCAATAACAATTCTACCAAAACTAACAAACCCCATATCATTTCTTTCGTGCAGCTAGCACCCCTGTGCCAATTAAGGGGATTCAGGTGAGGATGTGATATGGATCGAGGCACGTCCCATTCCGACCACAGAAAAACAACAGCTATAGAGAGCCATTAATTGTTTTTAAAGTTTGAATAAATAATATCAGGAATGTATTACGACAAATACACATATATACACTCCTGATAATATCCTAATTATAGTGATTAGTTCGGTAAGAAAACAATAGAATTTGAAGGTACGTCAAAACTATGTTTATGATATATATATATATATATATATATATTATATATATATATATATATATATCTTATTACCGTTGCATGAGATATAATATATTAATGGATTAGGTTTGCCTAATCAATACCGGCCCAAATAATGTAGAAGTTTTAGACAAATGCATATGGAAATATATACTCTTAAATAAAATACTATCAAAAAAATAAACAGGAACAAATACGGAATCATTTGGCGTTACTCCCTCTGATGGTGTCACCAGGTGCGTTCCGCACCCCCTTGTGACTAGACTGAACATACACAGATAATATAGATATGATGACGCGATTACGATTGCTGCAGCCTTGATCACACAGTGCTACATTATCGTATCTAAATGGCTATGCCGGTTCAATGCAGCAGGACCAGTAACGTATCACCTGTTTGTACGTAGTGGCTGTTCATTACACTTACAGCTAAGCAGAAGCGAAAACACGGCTTTACATCACGATGCATTTTGGAACATTTCCGACGTTTGGAGTTGTTAATGTTATGTCTTACTCCTGGTATGTATTACATCGCGATCAAATAATGGGGTGTACGATAAAATTATCTCACAGTTCGTGTGTAACGAGTGCGTAACAGCAGAGTGTGTAACGAGAGCGTCTGCTTAGTGGTTGAGGGGCCAAATAGCGACGCATGCAGCACGACCTGCATGGGACATACCATTTTCCCGAAGGGTAGGGTAAAGACGCTGCGCAATGGTGGATATGTAGTGGTTCATTAGCTGGTTGAGTGACTCCAGTTCCGTCCAAGCAAGTGTCGGTGAATAATAATTTATATGTGTATACGCTGGTTAATATCATATAATAACATACTTTTGTTTGCATAGTTTGCAAATTAGGCGTGCCTGACTGGCGTAGTCTTGACCTGTCACACGAAAAATGCGTGTTGTCATGGGCAGAGTCAGTGAACTAAAGCGTACAGTATGTAGCATTTTTGGGTGTAGCGCAATCGCTGCTATCTTTTGAACCATAACATAACAACACCCAGAGCAAAGCAAGTTGAAATACGTTCGGTGGCTAAACTACGGCAGGTGCGATGCCTTAGATATCTGCCTAATTGTATGTATTATTCTCAAAATTGACAGCTGAAATGGTACCCCATTGTACTTGGTACAATGACGGCGTATTTCGGTGTTTATTTACTGCTGTTAGTGTTAGTGTTAGTGTTACGGTAACGGGTTGAGCTATTCAATTCAGAATTGTACATGTATTGGCTACGTCGTACAGTACGTACACCACATGTTCTAACATATGTGTATGGTTAATAAGCATTCGGAGTGAGAATTTAAGGCTTTAAATTTGCCTCTCTTTAGGGCCGTCGACATGATATTGATCTTACTGTGACACTCTGTTGGTCATTCATCCCATTGTGACACTCAGTTTTATTGAAGAAAATTATGTGGCACACATTCTGTAAATAACATAAACCTCTAAATCATCATTGTTGCGAACATCTTTTCAGATGGAGAATCCTGCAAGCACGATCGTTTTCAGCGATTTAATCTTTTGGAAGCACGCGCTTCCAAACATCGATGCTGAAATCGCATTCAATGGCATCTCAGCCAATAGTGAAACCTCCAGTGTCGCAGCAGCGTGTGATGAACCAGCCGTGGTTGCCATGGTAACCAGCTCATTTTCCGCTACTGCTGCACCGGAAAATCCATCCGTGTCAGAGTTGGCGGCGCATGGCAGCAGGCTGCGCTGTGATGAAGAATTCGCCGATAGATTAACGTCAAGTGCTGAGTCGGAATTGACAGTAAAGCCTTGGAGGCAGAACGAGAGCATAGACCATTCATATTCAGACACTAAGGAATACTCGTGTGCCGATCGAACTAGTAACAGAGCAGATCGCAAGCCCACGGACCACCACCGGGCTATCCTGTGTGGAAATGAGCTGCTTTTAGAATTCACTGCCTCAGTGACAGCAGCATCTGTGTTAGGAATCAATGGCAGCATCGAAGATGGACAAGCGTGTGCCGAAATACAACGGCTAAGTGGACATAATGCAGCAGTAACAGAGCTCTCTCCGGCATGTGAGCAGGAGAAACGTTTCCTGCTGGGAACGTGGGTGCATCGGTCGGTGAACGAACATTTCACTTCTGCGATTGTCGACGAAGTACAGTCTGCGCGTCTGAGTTTGCGAAATCTTCGAATCTCAGCAGCTGACTCCGCTCAGCATAGCAGCGAAACGTCTTCTCGCGGCGCCGGCGGAGACGGAAACCTCCGGGAGCCGTGCGGAGAATTTCGCGAGCGCAGAAACTGTGGTATCTCTCCGGAGATCGCCGCTGATCAACGTGACCCCCCTTCGATAGCCGCACATGTACTCACTATGTCAGCCGATGGCAACAACGATACCAAACTTTCCGTAGACTGCCGCACGAACGGCGACGGCGACGTCGCTGCGACGACGACGGTCGGGCAAGAGTCGTGCGGCAGAGCAGAACCTGTGAGCAGCCTGCCCACCTCGCACGCGAGGCGAGTAATTAGTTCGGGAAGTGACGGCGGCGGTGCGCGACGCGATTACAAAGTGCGCGCCTCGGCAGGTGAAAGTTGCAGAGCGTCGGCAGAACCTGCTGATACTGATAGTGGGAGCTGTGTTGTGCGCGAGTGTGGGTTGTTAGGGCTGACGGGAGATACAGGTGCGTCGTCAACGCTAACCAGAGATACAGGTGTATCGTCAACGCTAAAGGGAGATACAGGTATATCGTCAACGCTAACCAGAGATACAGTTGATGCAGGTGTGTTGCCGGGGCTGAAGGGAGATGCAGAGGAGAAAGCTGGGTGCGTCGCGCCCGACACGGCGCGTTGTGATTCCGATGTGACGTCGGCACGCGAAACGACATCGACAGAACCGATTTCAGGCGAGTGCTTGCTCATCAATGCATTCGCCGCGATGAAGATCAAGGAGGAAGAAGACGGTTATCGAACAACGAGCGATCTGGGAAAGTCCGAGACCACCGCGCTGAAGAGCCGAAGTGGCGATGAGAATAAGTATCGCGTTTCTACACGAAACGGCAATAATGCAAGTCATCTAAGTGAACAAATACAAAACGAGATCAATACGAACAGCGTAGCAGCGACCGGCGAATGCGAAACCGGACGCGACGCAATCGAACGCGTCTTAAATAAAGACGCCGCAGAACACGCGAATGGCTGTGCCGATCAGGTACGTACGGTGGACGAAAATACTCCCGGCTGCATTGCACCGAACAATGTGGGCACTGTACCGGACGACGTGGGTGTTGTACCGGACGACGCGCGCGCTGTACCGAACAACGCGGGCGCTGTACCGGACGACGTGGGCGCTGTACCGGACGACGCGGGCGCTGTACGCGCGACGGGAGAGGAAGGCCGCGAGCGACCGCGTGGCGGAAGAGATGGGGACGCGCCGGGAGACACCGCGCGGGACAGCATCGATCACGCGAGTCTCAAATTCTCAACGTGCTCGAACGACAGCCAGGCGTCGGACACCGGCGGAGAGGGCGGCGGATACGGCAGCGCGATTCCGTATCGCATTCTCCCGGCGTCGTCGCCGGACGACAGCTGCCTGTCGTTTCCGAGCTCGACGAGCATCAGCCCGTGCGACGACGTCTTCTTCACGCCTGGCGTGCAGACACCGGAGACCGAGTTCCCGCACGCGGTGCTTGCCGCCACCACAGGGGGCGCCACCTGCTGCGCTGATGCACTTGTGACCGCCCCCGCAGGAACGGCAGACGGCGTTCAGTCGGAAATGTCGCCGGCGAATGACGTGGTGCCGTTAGCGCTGTTAAATGGTGGGTCGCCGACAGTGGGAGAGGCGGCGTTGCCAGCAGAAGTAAACAGCGTTTTACCGACAGTGGGAGAGGCGGCGTTGCCAGCAGAAGTAAACAGTAGGTCGCAGACTGTAGGAGAGGGGGCGCCACCGGTACTAGGGTCGCCAACGAAGGGCGTGCGCGTGACGGACTTGGACAGCGTCCAGCTACCGCTGCCGCTGGACAGCAAGCGGCGCCCCCTGGAGCAGCCCACATCACGAGAACACGGTGCCACACAGCGCCCCCTGGAGCCGTCGTGGGGGGACGGCGACCAGCGCCCCCTGGAGCCGTCGTGGGGGGACGGTGACCAGCGCCCCCTGGAGCCGTCGTGGGGGGACGGCGACCAGCGCCCCCTGGAGCGGTCGGCGTCGCTGGAAGACATGTCGGCGTCGGTGAGCGCGCGGGCCGTGCACGGCGACGACGGAGCGAGGTCACGCGGTGACAACGGCGGCGGCGCGAGGAAACCGATATTCTCGATCACGCCGACGCGTCCGCAGACGCTGTCGCGTTTCACGACGGTGCCGGCGAAGCGGCGCGAGCGCGGGAGCGAGGCGGCGGCGGCGGTGGCGCCACCTAGCGACGTGCGTCTGGCGAGGACGCTGTCGCTGGACAAGGCGACGATCGAGGAGCGAGTCGTGACGCCGAACTACGTTCCCGAGAAACTCGACTTTAAGCAGCTGGAAAAGTTCGAAGGTGAGGTCGGTTCAATTCCGGGTCAAGGTCAGGGTCAGGGTTTCGTCTGCTAGGATTAGTGAATGTACTATAGCGCTATCGTAACATAGTCCGGGATTCGCAAGAAATGGCAGTGGTAATCAAAATGCGAATCGTGCACGTTTCAGAAAGTATAGCTAAGTACGAAGGTCCTAAGACATGTTAGCTTTAATCCAGACTGTTGCTGTTACTCAAGCAATATTGGTAAGTGTCGGAAAAATGGGGAAAACATGAGTAGGTGGGAAATTATGTTCGAAATAAAGGCTTCAAGACCATGGGCGGTGATTCCTGAATCCTAGATTTTATGGTTAGGGTGAGTAGCGGGAGATTTATAAATGCCCTACTGAGTTGCAACTTGCAAATGTGATGGTTTTTTTAAATGTTGTAAAGTCGATAGTCCAGAGCTTGGCAATCTACTTGATATCGTGAGGTACAGGTGGTTTTCTGCGGGATGGTCCTGATTCGTAGGCTGAGGTTTGTAAATGTTCGATTAAGAGATCTTCGTGTTGGATGTTCGTAACTCCCTGTTCCATCGTCCTCCCCCTTCGATCGTTTCATTGTAGTAACATATTATCAGGAATGTATAATTTATATATAATATAATAATATATTATATAGATTATCCAGATAATGTCACGTACCTATGCTAGTAATCATAATTATGAAAAAACTGCAATGATTGATTGCGATTTGGGATAGACTCTCTGGTGCGTGTACATAAGTTAGCATTGCTGACTGACTGATAAGATTGGCTGGTACACCTCACATACTCTACCTCTAAGAAGACACCTAGTAGGCTAAGTAGCATTGCACTCATATTATTATGCACCTAGCTGTTGTTTGTTTATTGGGTTTATCCCCGAAGGCACTTAATTACTACCTTTTCACTATATATATCCAGTGCACTGGACACCGACAAGTACGAGAAAATAACATAACATAACGTACAACTCTGTGCCTCATATACTCTCGGACATATATTATGTTGTATGTGTTGTGTGCGTGCGTAGTACACTTCAGTGGTTCCGAGAGCCAAGCGTGCTCTCACAGAGTGTTTCCAGCGTGATTAGCAGGTCGTTCTCAGGTATATTATCTCTTTCACGCTGGAAATCGCAGGTGAAACCGTCTCGCACCTACTGTCAACACGCAGGTCCACGCATATTCTTTACACGTGCGTGAAGTTTCTTAGCATGTAGTTCGTTGACCAGGAAGTGCCCCCGTAATATAACGGACGCGTTCATACGTACGTTGGTCATTGTACTGTGTGTGACCCCACAGTTAGCATGACAAGCTAATCTTAACCTCCCACCCCATGTAAGGATATTGGGCCCCACCGGGCTTGTGTAGCCATACATTATCCCTGTGTCGGGCAGGAGTAAACACACGCGCAGATGGTCAGTAAAGAATGGGGCGAATGTGCAAGCAACACACTTCCCTGTGTGCCCATATCGTATTACCGGTCCACCCAAGTGCTCCCTGCACGCTATCTGCCTTCCAATTACACCCTCATTACCGGCGACTACTTCTCGAAGAGAACTATGCTGCTTGTGTCGCGATGCGTGCGCACAAGTAAGGTGCATACATACATGTACATTCTGGCGGTAGCGGGCGTGCGTCTATTCACGGGCTGTACTCCTGAGTTGTCCCAGGCTATCGGATACGATCTCGCAACGAAAATCGTGGCTGAAAGTGATACAATTACCGTCGTTGTTCGATATAGTGCATTTTGATAATGCATCGTCTGTTAATGCGCATATGCGTCATCGTCGCATGTAAAACTCTTGAATAATTAACACTGTGTAGAAATAGCTGGATATCGAGCGCGAGTACTGTCGATCGAGTTCATTTGTATGTTATTTTCAAACTCTCTCAAGGCTACGCATACAAATTACGTGCGTGCATGGAGAGAGAAGGGGGATGAGAGAGAGAGAGAGGAGGGTATGAGAGAGAGAGAGAGAGGAGGAGGAGGGAGGA